CCCCAAAACCCCAAAACCCCAAAACCCCAGTTTGGAAATTATAAATATTAAATCTTAAGAAGGTAAAAATGGGAAAATCCTTAACCCCTATAAAGGAATTTGAGGGGAAATTTGGGAGTTTGGAGGGGAAGAGGGCTTGGGAGGGAGGTTTAGGGGGTTGGAGTAGTGGGTGCGGGAGAGTAGAGGAAGGTGGGGGTGGAGAGGGAGAGGGAGCGGGTTGTGGAGATGGAATTTTAGGGGGGTTTCCTTCAGATCTAAGTTTTTGTGATTTTTAAGGTCGGTGTTGATTGAAAATCCTACTTTAGATAAATTTCTTATTTATAACAAAGTGTGTCAATTAGGTTGTTTAGATAGTTAAGAATTTCTAAATACAGTGAAGGACAAAATTATTCTGGGTTTGAGAGATTTTGGGAGGAATGAGTTTAGTAAGGATCAAGGATAGGAGTAGAGGTAACTGTAGATTTTAGGGAGGGAAAGAGGCAAAGTAGATTTTAGATGGAGTAGATAGAAATCATGTTTCTTACGTTTTAGGTCTGAAGTTTTAAATTTTTTGAAAATTTAACCATTTTGATACGCTTTTATTCATATTATAAAATTATTGGAAAATATCAATATAGTTGATAATAATAGGTAGATTTCAGATCAGAAGCTATCTGTTAGATTTATAAAAAAAAGACTGAGTATCTCTTATTCTTAAACTCATTTTAACAAAATATAATGATTAATAAATTTAAAAAAATTCAGAAATAAAATATTAAATAATTTATTCCCAAAATATGTGATTTCATAATTAAGTTTTAACCTAAAAATCTTATATAGGAATGCGAATAAAAAATTTAGCAATCGTTACTGTTTATGTTGCAATCATGCTTTTATATACAAAGGCTGGGGAATGAGACGATGCATACCAATTTACACCTCTAAGTGGATCAAGCTTTGTGGGCTATCAGTGTTGAATTGGGAATGTCGAGATGTTTTATTTTAAAAAGACAGGTAAAATAGATATCACAATGTTTAGTGTCATCTTCAACAGTAAAAATTTCGACCATTGTTGTTCTCAAAAGTAAGTAAATTGAGTTACGCCAGTTTCTAAATATAAATATTAGATAAATACCAGCCATATAACACGTCAGAACAATTTTCAAAAGAGGTGACTTCAAATGAGGCCAACTCAGTATTTGGCTTTAGTCCACTCGATTCATATGTTGATACGGGCTATAGCAGATTCATAATTTCAGGGCAATATATCTCTAATAACGTGTATTACTACGGGTTCCTCATTGTTACACCTGGAGATCCTCCAACTTTTAAACTGAAATTCATTAACCAGAAAATGAATGACCATACTTCATCAACTACGAGAAGCTTTACTCAATCAAGAGTAATTCAAAGATAAATTTTAGCTGATTAAACCTTCCGCCAATCTTGGATACTTTGGAGTCTTTGTTAATTATTATGGACATATCAGTGGCACAAATGAGACACAGGTAAGATCCCTCTATGCATTTAAGAGGACGAATTTGCATCTTCTGGTACTTAATAATCATAAGGACAAGTCTAATCAGTTTAAACCTATGTCTTAACTTGCTTAACTTTTTAACTTTTCTTCTAGCTCCTCCTCAAAGTGCAATCAAGTACCCTTCAAGTCAGTCAGATAGGATATATATAACTGGACATTATGACGGATCTTACCTTATCAGTAAGTCTCTCAATTGCTTTAAATGCTAATTCTATTCTATAGCAAACTCTCCAGTTCCGATGATGGTTCTTGGAACGGTAGCTTTATCAGACAATACAGTTAGTAAGTCATACTCTTATTTTAAACATCTAGCTATCTTAAGTTATATTACAAATCAAGCCAGTAGCGAAAAATTCAGCAGCTCATATCGTCTGTCCATAGGTTCTTTCACAAATAATGCTAAAACACTGAGAATTTGGGGGTAAGAAACTTAATTAAGGTTATTATCTAAAAACACTGGAATGCTAATTCTTATATAGTGGAAGTTTTCAATTTTCCGGAATGGAACCTGTAAATAGTAAATCTTCAGTCTAACTCTTTAGCTACCAGTGGAGAAAGAATCATTATTTACGGCTCTGCCTATAATTACGATGTAAGTTTATAGAGAAGAAGGCTAATATTTCTCTAGTACAACAGTTATTACTTGTACTACTCCTTGCTTCATCCAGGAGCTAGTGATGTCAACCAAGTAGTCAGGTATTCAAAATCTGGAGCCAATTGGGTGAATGTTGTACTAAGTTTTCAACAGAAAAGCATTAATGAAGTAGTTTTTGTGTTTATAGGTAAAATAAGAGTATAACTTTAGACACTTATACAAGAGTTGTAATTATGAATCTTGATAGTGGACAGATTTCTTATGTAAGTTTCTTTCATCTCTTTCTTGAACAACCAAGTATCATATTTGGAAAGAGTAAAGGCAGTGTAATTAAAAAGTTAACTCTTTCCTGTTGTTTGTGTAGCATTTTAAATGGAATTTATGATTTAATTCTTGAATAATCTGGATAGAAACACTTTTACTCTAAGGTTTATCATACTGAAAATAATCCTTTCTTATCAATTTTTCAACTTCTATCAGAGTAGGTTATTTTAAACTGGACTTCAATTAGGCAAGTTTTGATATTCCAAACTCTTTTCATTTATAAATGCCTCATGTTTTATATTAATCTAATTTTTTTTAATGAGATTTAGTATAATTAAAAACATCATAAGTGCAAACAATTATTTAAAATCTCTACTTTAATAATTATGGTGGAACTATATTAATAGTGAACAATTTGGTAAACTTTTGCTTACAAACTTCCCTGTAAAGTTTAAATTAAATCTTAAATGACCTATGTAAAAATTTCTATTAAAAATAATAAACTTCGCACTCCTTCAGCCAATTAACTTTTTGGTCCTAAACCTTTTCAATAGAACGCAAGAACTACAGTAAGATCATGAATGCTCAGGATTATTCAACATAATTACCAATAGGTCAACTTAGGAGATATAGTGGTTTCTTCTTATGCAGGAGAGATTTACTTGCATAAGGCTTATTCCAGTCCATATGTGATCTCTAAGTATTCAACAGTAATTTATCACTTATCTCTAGACGTTGCACAAGTCATGATCTGAAGATTTCACCGATGAAAGTACATGTATGGTTTTAGGATCAAAATTTTAGGGTATGCAAATCTAGGTTCAAAGACTTCATTCGAACATACAATAAGTAAGGATATTTCTTTGGTTTAAGAAAAAAAATTATAGGAGCGCTAGAGATAAATTCAGCATCAACCTCATCGTAATTCATTTAATTATTTTAGTTACACGTTACAAGAAGTTGCACTGTCAATAAATGACGCTACTGGTATTTATGAATATTCATACATAGTCTCTGCTTATCAAGAAAGCGATTGAGGATCTTCAACTGGAAGCATTCCAGATCCAATTAAAAAAGAGACGGCTAAATGAGGAAGTGGAACAACCAGTTGGTATTTTGATTCCCTTGTAAAACAAAGTTTTACAACTTCATGAACACTCAAATCTTGGCGTAAAGTTTCAATAATTCTTTAGAAACAATGCCCACCTCGATATATTATGATCTGACTGTTTATGATAGTTCAAACTTAGCAATTCCATGGATGAGTTTGACATCATGGAATGAACTCATAGCAACTGATATTCCATGCTCTTTGATTGGAAATATTACTCTGTATCTCAAAGCAGATATTGGGCAAATTGGAAATCAAACAGTTAAAATTAATTTGGAAGTTAAACCTCCTACTCCTCTTATCAATGATACTGTCCAAAACCAAGGAACAACAGCTTTGAATTCAGCAGTTACTTATAGTGTTTCAACAATGTTCAAAAACCCTGATGGTTACTCTTCTGTACTAACATATTCAGCAACTTTATCTGATGGGTCAATGTTACCTTCATGGATTGATTTCGACCCTACAACAAAGATATTTACATTTGCCACTACTTCTGTCAATACAGCAGCTATAAAGCTAATATGAACAAATAAGGATGGGGGTAGTCAGAACCAGCAATTTACTGCAAGCATAACCAATACTTCTCCAACTGTAATTTCATCTATGGGTTCAGTGACTCGTGAAGATAATACAACTTTTACAGATACTTTCAATCTGACTCAAGTATTTCAAGAAGTAGATCCAAATCAATCATTGACTTTCTCAATAGATAACGATCCTGCTCCTCCTTCATTTGTGACAGCTTCTATTTCAGCAGATCATATTTTGACAGTAACTGGGAAAGCTAGCTCTTCAGATATTGGAGGGATTCATAGAGTGTTTGTAGAAGCAAGTGATAGTTTTAATGTAATCTTTGATATACTAACTATTATTATTACCGAGAATAATCCTCCAGCCCAACCAGCTGGGTTTCAAACTTCAATCATTGGATATGAAGATACTCAAAATAATACAGACTTCCTTCCATTTACTGATGAAGAAGGCAACCCAATTTCCTATGTTGTTACAAATTCTAATGGAAGCTCCCTTAACACATCATGGATTACATTTGATCCAGTAGGCAGGAAACTAGTCTACACTCCATATGGTAGTCTCACTAGCCCAATTGCATTCACCTTTACTGCTTCAGATGCTTTCAACACACCAGTAGATGTCACAGTCACAATGACAATAAAGTTCAAGCCAAAAGATAACCCTGCAGTTGTTACTAGACAAGGAGAATTTGTAGTTTTAAGTTATTCTTATTTTGAAGTGCCGGAAAGCATTATTACAGACGATGCTGCTATAACAAGTTACTGGGTTACTTTAGATGATGGAACTAGTCCACCGCCTTCATGGCTCACAATCTTAGATCCATTGTCTAGTTCAAGTGGAAATTTTGAGTTTTCTGGAATTTATCCAGTATTTGTAAGCGAGACAATATCTCTGAGAATATATGCTCGCGATTCTGATAATCTTGAAGGATACTCCTCAATATCAATACAGACTAAATGTAAGTGCATATATTACCTCTAGTATTTTGACATGTCAGCTGACTTACTTGTAATGGGCCAGATATTGATGATTGTCTGACTTGTGATTCTGGAAGGTTCTTATATCTAACTTTGTGTAAACTTGTCTGTCCAGATGGATACTACGGAGACTCTTCAAGCAACACTTGCCAACGTAATAAAAATTAATAATTATCTAGCCTGAAACACAGTATGAAGTAAATGTAATGGAGCAACTGAATTGGATTGTATATAGAATGAACTTACAATTCTACGCATAAGTATTTCCGACACAATAATGAATGACTGAATCATTGTCCTCTTAAAATGTATGGAGATCCGACATTAAGCAAATGAGAAAACTGTCACTCCTTTTGCACCAATTGATATGGAGAACTCTCTACTCAATGCACTGCTTGAGATATAGAAAATAGATACACACTTGTAGCTCCGGACACTTGAATCTATCTTGAATGTCCTGATGGATTTTATTACAACAATGTAACTAAGGATTGACAGCCTTGCCACGAGACTTGTCAAACATGCAATGGTCCAAATTCTACCAATTGAGTGTCATGTTCATACTCAAAGTTTCTTAACCAACAACTAGGAAGTTGCCAATTATGCTCAGAGATCAATTCAGGGTTAGTTTTTGAAGCTCTCACAAATACTTGCCTTGAACAGTGTGGCAAAGGATACAACCTTGGCTTCGTTGAATGAGATGATGGAAACTCTTCTAATGATGATGGATGAAGTGCCAACTGAGAAGTTGAAACAGACTGGAAATGAGAAGGAGGAAATAGTACTAATCCTGACACTTGCTTCAGTTTAATAGGACCTACTGTTGAATTCACATTTATAAATAGGAATAGTTATCTTGGATCATTCGCTTTGATTGAGAATGTCACATTTGGAGACTACTCTGAAGGAGATATTTCAGTTTCCATTGATGGGCCTCTTTCTCCATATGAGTTTAATTTTACCATGAATGATAAAACAGAATATATAGCTGGGCAGATAAATAGCAGATTTAAAATTCAGTTTGAGTTTTTATCAAGTCTTGCAGGAGATCATCAAGGTAGGATATTAAAATAATGTAAATAGAAACAATTACAGTCACTTTCAACAAACCAGAACTTTTCATTGATTCTGATGGTAATGCTCTATCAAACACCAACACAAGTTTGACAATACCATTTTTCAAATCAGTAGTGTCTGATGAAGAAAAAGCAGCAGCAAGTGCACAATCAAGTGCTAGTCTTCTGAGTCTGATTCTTGCTCTGGGGTCAAGCACCTTCATCTCAGTGGTCCTTGGTGGAACTATTGAGGCAACTTGGCTGCTCTTTGGATGTATCCAGCTGATGTCTTTTGTCCCTCTCTTTAATATGAACTTACCTGGAAACTTCAGAGAGTTTTCAAAGAACTTAGCAGTGCTACATGGAGAACCAGCAGGTCTTCCAAATCTGTTCGAATACTTTGTTGACACAGAAGGATTAGAACCATTTAACAACTACTTTGAAATAATGGGTAAATTAATGTTTCTAAAGCTTTTTTTATTGGCAGACATTGGGCCAATGTTAATTTTAGAGCTGTATTCCTTACTTATTTAGGATTCAAAACAGAGTTAATAGTCATGAACTCAGGCAGAAAGATTGAGCTCTGGATCATCATGTTCCTCTCAATGGGAATCTCTTTCCTTCTCTATGATTTGTTCGCCGAATCCAAAATGTAATTTAGTTATTAACATATATAGTGGCAAAATAGTGAGGATGGTAGACACAAAAATAAGATATGGATTGCTTATTCGGAGTGTGTCTCAATTCTATTTGAGCTTCTTTCTATGATCTGTGCTCAACATCTACAAAGTAACTTTACTGCAACAATATAGATCTCATGGAGTGGAGTCAATGTAGACTATTTTAACAATGCATGAGCCTTAATTGCGATGTTCACAGTTCTTTACATCCCAATTAAATCTTTTAATATTGTCTACAAGGCTGGAGATTTAAACTCGGAAGAATTCAAAAAGAGATATAAGACGATCATTGCCGGCTTGAAAATATCAGGGCCTCTATGCTTCCAGTTCATTAGTCTATTTTATTTCAGAAGAGGAGTATATGCATCCATTTTTGTTCTGTTTAATTCTGTTCCAATATTTCAAATAGGGAGTGCATCTGTTGTCATGCTGAGTATGGCTTTATACATTATTATTGTTCGTCCCTATGACTCAATACTGTCAAATTTCTTGAGCGTGATCAACGAGTTCTTAGTGACATCAATGATAGGAGGGTGTTATAGATTTGTAGAGCCTGCAATAACCCCAAGCTTGAGTTCCTTGATAGGAAACATATTCATTGGAATTGTTATCAGTACCATAGTGATCAACTGGGTTTCAATAATTTGATACGGCATTGGCATTTTAATAAAGTAAGTCAAGTTTTAACTTAGTAAATCATCCTCTAGAAATAAAATTCGCAAGGGAAAACTAAAGTCAGTTATGAAAGCAAAGGACGCTATATTCAATGACAGTAGTAGGGTATTTGCCAAACTCTCAAAGAACACTACATAAAACTTAATGAATAAAAAGATTTAGCTCTGCAATTATCTTCATTCAAAATCAAGCAAATTTTCTTCTGTCACTAAGATAAAATCATTGTTACTATCAAGTAGAACAGGAAAATGTTTGGGCATCTTCTTAAATTTGAAAACCCTGAAAAACCTAGACTTCTTGACATCAGTAACTTTGAATTTTACTGCTAAACATTTTTTAACTTAGAAAGTTAATTTTACTAAATCTTAGAACTAATCTTATTAATCTCTCTCAATGTAGAATATCACCCCCGGGGTTTTGGGGTTTTGGGGTTTTGGGGTTTTGGGG